TTTGGTTTTGGCACCATACCAAGCTTGTGCTTGAAGTTCCTACATAATGAGGGAGAATAAATAATTATAGGTAACAAAAAATAATACAAACAAATAATTATAATGAAAGTAGGTAACAAATAAATAATACAAACAAATAATTATAATGAAAGTAGCTAACAATTAAATAATACAAACAAATAAATAATATATTGTTACCTGATCCGTTAAATTTTCCCCACTTCAAAGATTACCACTAGCTTGTGCAAAGGTGTCTCTCCACGTACTAAACGCTTGGCTAAGTAATTTCCAACGACTGGACATCGATTCTTTAGTTCTTTGCCCACCCATTTTCTCAAGATAATTGGTATGAATAAGACTCCACATTTCTCACAACAGTATCTCATTACCCGTAAGCAAATCATGAGTAACTTGAACCCAGCTAGTACACAACGCAACATCTTCAAGAAGTGTCAAATTCGTACCTGCTTGAGTTGTCATTTTGTTAGAAAAAAAAATTGGATTCAAACTTTGAGAGAAAGATAGGAATGTGATTGAAAGTAGTTGAGAAAATATGAAATTGTGGTGTAAGGTAGAAGATAATGAGAAGGTATTTATAGAAAAGTAAAATCAAATTTTTTTATAATTTTTCATAATTTGTTTTTGGATTTTAAAGAATTTCTTACATTTTTAAATTTTTTTATTCACCTAATTAATCTCTGCAGTTGGATTTTAAAAAAAATTGAATTCCAACACTCCAAATTGTGCCACGTGGCACAACGGTAACATTTCCGAATTTTTAATTGTTTTTTCTTTTCTTTTTTTAATTTACAAAGCCTAATAATGTGGACCGTTGATCTTAGATCAAATGGATGAAATTAAATGAGATTTTTAAATATTTTTTACTGTTGGAAATCTAACGGTTCATAAAATAAGGCCGTTGCAATCAAACGAACATGGGGAAGCCACGTGGCTTCCCCAATGGTAACATTTCAAAACAAGCGTCGCGGGCCCCAACCCTGTTTTTTTGTCGGAAGACGCGCGCCCACGTGCATGTGAAATGCATGCGCTTGACGCAGCCCTCGGGCTCTCGGGCGGGCAATCGACGCCGGGTGTCACGTCCTGATCCCAACATACGTCAAAAATCGACACGTGACAACGAAAATAATGTTCGTTGAATACGGTATAAGTTACGGAATAAAATACTTTAACTGATAACCCAAAATAATGTGAAGGTGGCTAAGTTCTCCACAAAATATTTACAATTATGTACATCCCAAAAAGAAGCATAATCTTTGCTTTACTAAGAACAAGTATGAGGTGCTCAAAAGAAAGTCCCAAAAGATAGAGTACAAGAGTGAAACAAGGGTAACCTAACACTCCAAGTCTCTGATAACTGCACTGCTACCCCCACCTACAAACTTCCCGGAGTCTACTCAAACCTGTCACTTGTACGATCAGTGCCTACACCATCGGAATGGTGCACCAGGCAAACAACAACCTGGATAAGTTAAGAAGTTTATGCGAGTGACAATAATATCAAATATGTGAGAATAATGCTAATGCCAACCATCAAACAAAGTTTACACATCTTGAATATAAATCATTCATAAGAAATCAATACCAACTTTGCAAACCCCGAAGGAATCACCCAAACACCCAACGGTTCATCTGAAACCAATCACAACATCTCACAACCATCTTCTCATACAACACAATGAAAAGTAGAGTTAGAGCGACACAGTTTGACCGAAGCCTACCTCTTTGAAGCCATCTCAATTCAAATTCAATACATCCCAAGGTGAGTAAGATCTCGGACCTTCACTCAATGGAATGTGAAATATGAGGGATTCCAGACCATCTCTCAACAGAATCCAAGTGGATACGATTCCAGACCCTCACTCAACAGAATCGCTAAATCAATACGTAACAATAACTAAATGAAACCCAATTTAGATATGATTCTGGAACATCACTCAACAGAATCGCGGAATAGAAGGATTCCAGACCATCTCTTAACGGAATCCGAGTGGATACGATTCCAAACATCACTCAACGGAATCGCAGAAGACCAACAATCAGAATGTACGGCGACTCAAAGAAATGGGACAAGCACATGCTACTTAATTTACAAAAACTCAACAAAGAAAGATTAGGCACAATTACTAAATTTAGAACCAATCACCGAAGCGGAAGGTGAAACCATATTGAAGCAACAAATCCCCATCATAATGGTTAACAGTCATTACTAGTCCTCACATTAATCTTAACATGTCAATCATACAAATCAAACCACATTTCCAATATATATGCCACACCCCATTTCATTAACATAAATTGATGTCGAAGTATTGGAATAACAATTCAATAGAACATATTCATAAAACCAATTCATATCCACACAGGATCATAATTATGACAATCTGATAATTACCAATATCACATATATTAAAGTCACTCGCCTGGAGTCCGCGCTAATGTACCCTAGCACGATAGTCAAGGCATCACGTTCTATCACCGCCTAACAAAGCAAAAGTCCACATTTAGATTTCCTTCGATAATTCACATACTCAAAAATTCTCATATGTCTCCCACAACAACATTTAATGAGGAATCGAACCGTCGTTCTAATGTAGGGTCCATGATCTTACGTTATTTGCTTCGTAAAATCCAATCACTAGATTTTCACTTATAAGTCCCTAAGGTCCTTAAACAATCTACAATAGCATATTAAAATCTTGTCTCAATTCAATGATAAGATTGTCAATTGTTAGAATAATCAAGTGGTAGACCTTATCGATAATATATACAATCAACAACATTTTCATAAATCAAATGTCACATATCGGAAAATTTGACTTTTTCAAAAAATTCTCAAATTTTACAAGAATGAAGATTTCAACAAGTAGAGTAAACTTGATACCTGTGGCCGAGTCCAATTTGGTCAGGAAGGCCCTCAAATTAGCTCGCACCCAACGAAACCCTAAGGTGGGTGTTATTCAATTCGGCTTCTTTGGTGTTCCAACGCCCCAACCACCAATTGGGTTTTGTTCTTGGGTCCAAGGGAAGCTGATTAAGGGTGATGGTGAATGGTGATACTCTTCGAAATGACAATTCGTCATCGAGAACCCTCGGGTTCTCCTATGGAGTTCTACATGAAATAGACCTTAAAACCCTTGATTTTTTTGTAGAGAGGGAAGGAGGAAGGTAGTGGAGCAAGTTGCAAGTGAAGGAGGTAGGAAAATTAGAAGAGAAATGGTAGGAATTGGCCTACATTGGCCGGTTTGAAAATAAAAAGGGTTTGGTGGTGGTAGATGGGTTCACCCAATGGAAAAAGAAAATGTCCACATTTTCCTCCTTCCTATTGATCTTTTCTCAACCTTAAAAAAAAAGGAACTTTAACGAAAAGCACCCGGTATTGTTCACTTTAACGAAAAACCACATTTTTACACTAAAAAGTCAATCCTGGTACTATTCACTTTACCCTTTATTTTGTCCTTATCATTAAAACTCAAAGTTTTCAAACATTTTTCATTAGTTTTCCTTAAAAAAAAATCTGCTAGGTCCCCTTAATAGTGGTTGCTGCCTAAACTTTTTCCACCACCTAATTTGCCCAATTCCACTTATAATAGCCGGTCCATTAATCTAAAAAGGGTTTGGGTCTTTTACCCATAAGTGGAAATTAAAATGATTTTCACAATCTAAAGTTTCACCACTTCAAACGTCCATAACTATACTATTATAATTCGGACTCGCAAACGGCTTTCACCTATGCGTTCGTGGGTTCAAGATTTATTTAAAAACACTAGTTGTAACTTCGAAATGTCAACGAAAGATAAGGATTGTTTATGAAACTTCCAACTCGATAACTAATCAATTACTAAACTTATAAGTAGTAGAATTAAAATTAACTAATAAAGATAACGTAATTGCGAAATATGAATTTAAATTACGAAATACATAATAAATGGTGAAATTCCGGGGGATGAGATTTCACACCGGGCCTGCTCCTCGGACCTCGTCTGTCACTCGGGCTACCCAACGTTGGACCCTATCCCCCTAGCAATTTGGTCCTGTTTGAAGGCCTGGCCCCCGAGCAACCTCCCCCACTGGAGTTGCTCTAAGGTATCCATAATTGTTCAGTAAATTATGCCTACAACATGTACCAAATTATTGAGATTCTTCGGTATCATGTTACCAAAATTTTTGGGATTTTGGGCCAAATTTGGGTTTCTTGGGTTGGCTTCGAGAGTTTCAGTATTTTCTTCTAGACCTACCTAAAAGGATGTTTTATCTTAGAAAACTTTAACGAAAAATTTCTGGTACTGTTCACTTTAACGAAAAACCATATTTTTACACTAAAAAATCAATGTTGATACTATTCACTTTACTCCTTATTTTGTCCTTATCGTTAAAACTTAAAGTTTTCAAACATTTTTCATTAGTTTTCCCTTTATCTTATTCAAAAGGCATTAGTAGTACAATTAAGAGTGATTTGGCTTAAATTATTAGCATTAACATGTGACGTCGTTAAGTAAATTTTGAACTCTATAGAATAAAACGGTTTATTGATATTGGAAGATCTGTTTAGATTTCGGCATTGTCGGGGTTAAAATGTGATTGTAGACAAACAATTTCGCAAGCGTGCGAACCTAATACACAACGTTTGAAATTCCCCTGAATGTTTGAAGCGAAATTTTTGTGCCACACGAAGGAAGGCTTGGACGTATGAAGAAAAATTAGGAAAATCATACAAAAAAAAAGATTAAGAACTGATACCAATGCCATTAACTAAAAGACTGATCCTTAAAATTATGAGAACTTTAACTATACTAAAAAATCAATTCTAATATTATTCAGATCATCCTTTATTTTGTCATTTTCGTTAAGGAAAAATTTTCAAACTCTTTTCATTAATTTTCCTAAAAATTAAACACAAGGAGATTACATGAGTCATAGTTACATGCAAAAAGCAACCCCTTATTAGATCTGAAGGAAGTTGCTCCACAAAAACTCTCCCAGCTCGCATTTCCTAAATGAGGTTGGCGGTCACACTACAAGAGAAAAAGAAGCAAACTACCAATGTTACAACTTATGTTACAGACACTGACGTAGCTAGAAACACTAAAAAACGAAATCCAACTGGGGTTTTGGGAGCCACCAATGTTGCTCCGAAATCAGCGATTCTTGGTCTTGTACTTGGACTCGTCAATCTTGATGCCTTCCTCAGCAGCACGCTCACCTCCGGACTTGTCGGAGGTGCTCAGCCCGCCTTTCTTTCCCATTTCATGGTATCCCTCTTCCCCTATCTGTTCCTTCCTCGTCTGCCCTCCACGGCTCCGCCCTAATTTATCATCACACAATCATTCATTAATCATTCAGAGACTACAACAAATATGTCAAAACTTACTTTCACCTGGAATGCAAAGGTTGCATTATAGAGAATATGACTCACTACCACATAAATTACCATATTTTTTGGCTTTCAGGTCTCGACATACTGCTACCCTTGCATATAGCGTACTAAGTGCATGAAATTTCTTTCTCGCAGGAGAAGTGGAAAGAGTGAGTAGTTAAATGAATTAGTTACCTTCAGCAAGGTGCTCCTGAGCCTCGAGGCTATGGCCACCAGTACCACCGGGGACGACAGTCTCTCCCCTCCTTGCCTTCTCGTCCAGCTCCTTTCTCTTCTCGGGGTCTTGTCTTTCCTGTTCCGAAGCCATTTCTTAATTTCCAAACTCGAGTTCTTCTCACAAACCCTAGCAACTGTACGCAAAGTTTGACCCAGTGAGGTAATTGCACTTTTCAGTACTGAGTTACCGTTAGGAGGGGAGTTGGGGTTTATATAGAGGAAGGATTGGAATGTGACTGAAGAGGCAGAGAGAGGAGGATGTGACACGTAATAGGGTAAACGTGGCTGATGAGGAGCTCTAGAACTTTGGGGGTAATGCCACGATTTTGCTTTGCTCTGTCAAAACGGTTGTTTAACCTGCAGTAAGAAGGACACGAGTCCATTGCTTAATTCGGTCACTGAATCCGCACCGTTGCCAAGGAGATGATCATGCAAAGTCATCCTTTACATGCACATCCACATCCACAAATAAACCCTAGAAACTGTATGCAAAATCATCTCCTGATATTTACACATGCATGAACAAAAATGAATACAAGTACCAAAGAGAGGAGAATTCAATTTGCGACCTGTGTTAACGTCATCGATAGCTCGATCAAAAAGCTAGCTAGTTTGTTGACAATATGATAATTTGAATAAGATCCATCACTTATCGAATGCGTATATAATGCAAGTTCTGGACTCGATTTGGATCTAGTCTTTCTTTTTGCTAACAAAGATGCTTGGAACGTACATACAAGTTCTTACAATAATTACAATTCGTTGTAAGTGCGTTTGTTGCACCAGACTATTACGGATTGACCTAGCTCTAAAAATTAAGTTGGATTGACTTATAATATATAAGCTAGACTGACGTAGTGAAATATTGTGAATTTTGTGCATTTCAACGAAGAGAAATTTAAGAAAGTGATATTGACTTTAATTGATGAGGAAAATTGTTCTTGTTGACCTATGCTAGAAACCATCAACCTATGCCAAAATATAAAATTATTTAGTGACCTAAACCAAATTTTATTTTTATTTTTGGTGCAAAGGGTTTTTGCTTTTTATTAACTGTTGGGATCTGTTTGGTTGGTAAGAAAATGATGGAAAAGGGAAATTGAAAATCATGGTTTTCTAAATTGTAGAGGATGAGTTTACTATTTCAGCAAAAGAATTTATAATAGTCCTATAACAGCCAATTCCCCAAATTTGTTTCCAATCTCCTTTGATTAGCAGCCAAATGTATTCAAGTACGTATATGCTTTACGATTTAGGTAGATATTGGTGTTAATTATGATGAAGAGATTTGGTTAGGTTTTGGAACTGGCTGGAAATGCTGCAAGAGACAACAATAAGAATGGCATTATCCCAAGGCATGTGCCTATTGGCCGTGAGGAACGATGAAGAACTTGGAAAGCTCCTGAAGGGTGTGACCATTGCTCATGCTGCTGTGCTTCCCAACATCAACCCTGTGCTTCTGCCAAAGAAGCCCGAGAGGGTTGCGAAGGAACCCAAGTCGCCCGTCAAAGCTGCCACCAAGTCCCCTAAGAAGGCATAACGTATCGAATTAGTAGTGTGTTTGGTAGCAGTGCAATGTGAAGAAAGTTGAGGTTCTACCCTAAAACCAATTGGCAGTATGGGAAGTATCCTAACTACTTATAAGCACATGCAAGATCCATCATCTCATTGATGTGGGATTCGCTCTCAACACAATGCACTTGTGTATGGAATCTCCATGTTTGTACTTGGTTAGTAGGATGCCTTCATGTGTCGTTAAGACCTTTCTACCCTGTTTCGATATCCATTTTGAACGTCCATGTTTCATATGAAATGAAAATTTTCCGACTTCTAAATTTTGCTTTTTGCAATGCAGTTGGAGATAATTTATACAAGTGGAGTGGTTTCTGCAGACTCTCACTTTCTACGCACCCCTCTTAATCGTGGCTCTTGATTTTCCTTTGGTTTGTTCAATCCAAATGGTTAGGGAAAAAATAAACAGGTGCACTAGAAGTGAAAAAGAGTGAGCATAAATCGTTTCTCTTTGTATAACTATTGCTTGATTTGGTGTTTTCTTCCACTTATATCTTTTAACTTTGAGAACATCTACTGCATGATTCTCGAGTTGGAAAATTCTAGTATGCAACGATATATGTTATACATTAATTGTTTTATCAATACATGTGCCATATACTGTTGTACGGTAGAAAGACTGCTAGGGTTGTTTTTTTCTTTTTTTTTGAAATCTCTCATGATAAGATGGTGAGTTTGCGTTAAGCAATTTAGAAAGCGTTTGTTATAGAAGTTTATCGAACGGCTGGAATAGCTCAGTTGGTTAGAGCGTGTGGCTGTTAACCACAAGGTCGGAGGTTCGAACCCTCCTTCTAGCGTCTTTTTTTTGTAATTTTTTTGTATTTTACATAGGCAACATAAGTTGGATTCTTGAAGTGGTTGCACTTGAATTTTTAATAAAAATTTGAACTTGTTTTAATTAGGCAACATAAGTTTGATTCTTGAAGGCGCTGCTTCACGAAATGCTCTCAAATCTCAAGTGCTTGTCGAGGTTGCACAGTTGCACTTGAATTTTTAATAAAAATTTGAACTTGTTTTAATTAGAAGCGGTTTTAGCAAAAACGTTTACGAGAAAAATAAATACTTTATAGAGGAGTCTCAAATAGGCTATGAATTGTAGCAATTCAACTTAATTGCCTTCTTTGATATTCACATGGGCTATGAAAGCCTCCTCCTCCTCATGTGAAAATTAATGTGGATGGATCATGGAGCTACTTACTGCTAATTGTGATTGGGGTCTTATGTTATTCTATGGATGCCAAACAAGTGGTTTCGGACTTGTTAATTAAGAGATGAAGATAAATTGGGCATGTGGCGGAAGCTACTCTTGTTTCCTTTACTTTGCTTATGTTATATATTTGCCGTGATTGTAATTGAGTAGCGCATCATTTAGCTAAGAATGCTTGTTTGCATCGTGAATTTCATATTCGGGTGGAGGAAGGGCCTCCATTTCTATTTGATTTTTACCCTCTCACGTACAAAGAATAGTCAAGTTAATTCCCTATAGATACATGAAAATAAAAAAGAAAAAACCTAATTACCTCTTGGTACTTCTTGTACCAAGAGGAAGAATGGAATCGTACGTAATTATTTTTCCTGTTTTCTTTACAAGGTTGTCTTATGATTTCGAAGAGTACATAACTACTATTTCATAGCATTAATAACTCTCGCATTCGTCTTTGATTTATCCTCCATTCCTTGTTCATGTGTCCCATCATCAGAAAAATCAAAAATTTCCAGTTAAAATTTTCAATCTACAAACCATCATATAAATTGCAATTTATTAGAGATTTCAATCCAAAAACGACGCGAATTGCCCACTATTTCACTGGTTCATCACATCTGAATATATTTTTCGTGGAAAAATCCAAATAAAAACCGATTACATAAAAACAACTGCATGCATGTATATTATTCACGTCAAAAATAATATTAACACAAAAAAAGGACGTTCCCAAATAGAGCCTATCATAAAAATTAAAAAGAAAATCAACAACTGGTAAATTTAGTAACGGCCTTGGTGCCCTCAGACACGGCGTGTTTGGCGAGCTCGCCGGGCAGCACCAACCTGACGGCGGTCTGGATCTCCCTCGACGTGATCGTTGGCTTTTTATTATACCTGGCCAAACGTGACGCCTCCTGAGCGAGCTTCTCGAAAATGTCGTTGATGAAGCTGTTCATGATCCCCATGGCCTTGCTGGAGATCCCGATGTCCGGGTGGACCTGCTTAAGCACCTTGAAGATGTATATCTTGTACGTCTCCGTCGATTTCTTCACCTTCTTCTTCTTCTTCATCTCCACGCCGCCTTCCTTTGGGATCTTCTTCTCCGCCTTCGTCGGCTTCTTCTCCCCAGCCGGTGCCTTCTCCGCCACCGGCTTTTTCTCACCCTTCGTTGGCGCCATATCGGGTGGTTTTTTGTTGAATCGGAAAAGATGCGATGATGGGAAGTTGGAACGGATTTTTGCGGGGAGAGGGAGTGAATTCAGGTATTCTGGTGGAGGGGAGGAGAGTGCGGTTTGTTTATATAGTGACGGGTAGTTGGTTCTGATTGGTGGATGGGTTGCATGAGGATCGGTGACGTAGATGATTGGTTGTCCGTTGGATTGATTTGGAAGCGTGGTGGCAGTTGGATTTATTGGAGTCGTGGTCAGACTGATCCGACAGCGAAATACGAGGTTGATTTGGCTACCGTCACGAATTTGGACCGCACGATTTGTTGGAAGGAATATTGACTTGGCTGTTCAGTCCACCGTAGGATTTATGAATTATAAAATTTTATGACTTGTGACTTTCCATTTTCAGGAGTTCATGTGAAATCATTCAAAATTTTAGGGGAGATACTTGATTTGCTAAAGTCTAAAATACATTATAAAATCACTTTTAATTCATAAAATTTCTTAGTTTTTTAAACGGGTAATATTAGGTAGATCAAATTTTTAAACCAGATTTTGTAAACTACATGATGTGGTTGTTGATTATTAAATTATTACTTAAGTGTTGATTAACATGTTTGTTTTTATTAGTGACACACCATTTGATTTGTAAATTTAGTCGACCTAGTATTGGCATTTTCAAATACTTTAATATCAAATCCTACTAAGTACACATGGAGTTTTATGAATTACTTTAAAATTTTGATTAAATATGCCTAGATTTAATTTTGTAAATTTTCATAAACTCTTTTAAAATCTTAATTGAGTACTCTTAAATTTGTGGACTTTCATGGATTCGTTTAAAATTTTTATTGAATATCTTAAATTTAAACACTTTATATATAATGATATGTTTACACTAATGTGTCACAGCTCGTCCTGAATTACTTTTATCTATGGCGTGAAATGTCGATTTTGCCCAGGAGCGTTGGGTCGTGAGTGTGTGAAACGGGCCAATCATTTTAAGTCCTAATGGTTTGGACCCAATTAGAACTTAGAGTTTACTTGTTTTTGGTTGGTGACCTAAAATCTAGACCATACACACACACCCACATCATTGCCGTTGACCTCTCTCTCTCTCCTTCTCTCAGAATTCATCCATTTTCCGTACACTTTGTACGGACAACCCTCAAACCCTTCAACCAGTTACAGATTGAAGACTTGGAGGTTGGTTTTGTGTTCCTTGTAAGTCCAAGAGCACATTGGTACCCTTAGTTGGTCGAGAGGACGTCGGAATCGTGAGAACCAAGAATCTCCGATTGATGCATTGTTCATGCACACGTAAACATGAAGGTTTCAGTGGATTTTAGCCGGAATATCGAAGGATTTTCCGGCAAGTTCTGTCGGTTTTAGGACCTTTGAAAGGTAAGGTTTTGTTCTACTTGTCCTAAGCTTTAAATTGGTTCAAGTTTCGTGGAATTTGGTTGAGATTTGGACAAGATATGAAGGTTTCTGTAATTTTTCAATTTTCCGGCAAACAACGACGGCGACGATGACCAGCGAGTCTAACCGGAGAAGAAGATAGAATAGTCCGTCAAAGTTGATGGAATATTCTGACGCCGTCAGGTAAAATTAATGGATTCCATTACTTTTTAACAGAATATTCCTAACGGGGTTAGGGGATTCCGTTAAGTTCCCTGCACGTGGCGGCACGTGGGTGGTCGGAAAAATTTTCTAAAAATATGGGGATGTTTGTGGAGTTGTGTAGATCACATTGGTATATTTAAATACCCCATTTGAGCATTGTATGAGAAGTTATTAGCTAGTTTTGTCTATGTGCTTTAAATAACGTTTATTCAGTTAATTCGCATATAGGTGAGACTTATCCCGAGGACGAGTGCAGTCAAGGGTGACTCGGGGGCTACGACCCTTCGACATAACAGTGAGTGGGCTTTTGATTTTAAGTATATATCTATATACTTGATATTTTCCCAGAAATATGCGTTTAAATGAAAGTATGCCTTGAATGCCATGCGTATAACTTTATATTTAGTATATGAGTTGAATTGTTTACATATATACATAATTGCGGTGTTGTGGATGCTCAGGTAAGTACCAGGTGAGTTATGTTTTGTTATGAGAATTAATGATTAATGGCATGTGATTGAATAACGTTTAGCTCAAAACTGCACCTATGGTGATTGTGATTTAGTCAGAGATATGACACAGGTCTGTCTATAATGTCACCTCTCGCACCATATGCTCACATTGGAACCAATTTAGGTGCATAGTCTTGTCGTACAGACCATCATAGGTGGTTTTGACTTGTAAGTGATTAGCGATTTATCGCCCAGCTATTATGAGAAAGAGTAGTATTGAGCATATTTATATTACACCCAATCCTGTCGTACAGACTTTTTCATTGGTTCCAACTCGTGTGCAGTAGAGTGCCGTATAGGTCATTTTAGTGACTCCGGCTAGATTTGACTATTGAGCTATGAATTCAGCCGTACAGACTTCCATAAGGGTTTCGGCTAATATATTATAATTCCATGAATTTATTCTCATCTGAATTACTTACTGTGTGATATCTTGGCATGGCATACATATGAAAATGATATTGTGAAGCATGATTTGAATTGATATATTTACATATATATTTATGTATATGCTTATATTCTATTTCTGGGAAATTATACATATTTTACGGCTAAGGGTTAGAAATGTTGAGAAATGAAATGGTTTTGTAAAACATTTGTTTTTGCCCACTCACTTTTCTATTTTGCGCCCCTCCAGGTTTTAGGTAGACTGCTGTTGGTGGCGTATGAGGATTCCGACGATTCTGACCTATTAAATTAATTGTAGGACATCTTATGGTACTATACACTTAGACCTTCTATGCTCTAAATAGGAGTATTTACACTTGTATTTCACTCCTAGCACTTCCTGTTTAATAGTGCATATTAGTAGCTTTCGGTTTTAATTTATTCGTATATTTCTTATCTTAGTTGCTTCCGCACAGTGCACATGGCTACGGCACCCTCACGTGACAGCCAGCATGCTCGTCTCGGTCGGGATGTGTCAAATGGGTAGAGGAATAAATTGATTGCAAACTCATCATCTATAAGATTTGAAACTAAACCTCTTAAAAACGACATTGTAAACTCCTAATTAAATACACCCCTAAACCTTGAACAAGGCCACTAACTTTTACTCTTAAAATAAGATAGCTTTAAAAGTTGCAAAACCAAATGACACTAGGCACATTTGATGTCTAGTATTGGCTTGGCAATCAACAAAATTTAATAAATGTTGAATAAAAGTATGGGTGTTAATTTGCATATCTTATCTAAGTGAAGGGTAAAAATGGAGAAGTCACGAAGAAGACTTGTCCCATTCAATCCTATCATTATTGGGGAAATTACGATGGATAAAGTTTATTCATAATTTCTCCATCTTCTACCTTCACTTGATCAGAATATACAAGTCAAAATCCATATTTGCATTAAACATTTCCTTTGTTTAGTAAGGACTCGTTTGGATGTGCTTTTAAACTCACTGAAGGCGCTTTTAGAGAAAATGTTTATAGGTTCCAAAAGCACTAGTTATGTGCTTCTTCCATGAAGCATTTTAAGTGTTTTTCCAAGATGGGGTTTTTTTTTTCACAAATGATCCCTAAAATTGACTCTCACCAGATGGGCCTTGAAAGTCGCGTGTCAATTTCAAAGACCATTTTGATGTCGGCGGTCAATTTCAACGATCATTTGTGAGAAGAAAAAAAAAAGGGACTTATGTGGCGCATTTATGTGTCACATCAGTACTTAATAGAATTTTTAACATAATTATGACATATATACTACATTGATTTGCGACACCTATTTTCTAGAACTACATTGATTGATTTTCAATTTCAAAGACCATCTTGATGGTCAATGTCAATTTCAGGAACCATTTGTGATAAAAACCCTTCTAGGATTTAATTGCATTTTTACTAAGGGTTGCTTCCAGAAACTTTTTTCACCAAAAGGGCTTTCAATCATTTTAAAAGCACATCCAAACAAGTTATAAGTTGTCCAGCCATCCTAAACATCATATGTGCCTAGGTCCGTTGGTTTTGAAAAACCTAGAATCGGAATACAAGAATGATGAAGAAAACGGCACAAAATTTGTCATTACTTTGAGGAAGGTCATCAAAATTGCCACCAAAATCCAAAATTTGACAATATTTTAATCACCACAATGCAACTTACATTAAACGCGTTCACTGCCACGTCCATAATGCATTGCCGTGCACAGCTACCTGGGCATAGTGCGACGGTGAACTTGTTCCATGCAAGTCTTCTCCCTCTATTGAGTAACTCAAACAATAAATTAGAAATAGCATCGCTAGTGTATCAAGAATATAACCCTTTCGGAGCCAGAATGACTTGTATGAAACTCAATTGTTCTGTCTTTTCAAATTTGCATCAACCACCTTGTACTAGCCAGCTTACAGGCATAACTAAAATTTACAACCAAGTAATATAAAAGAGTCGATGCACCATTTTAGTGCAGTGATAAGCAGCGCTAATCAAAAACTACTTTAACGGAATGATGTCTCACAAGACATTCCTCCTTTTGTACCGTCTTACGTACTGGAAATTCAAACAAAAATAAAATAAAATAAACAGCTTACAACCATGTGAAATGATAAGCAGTCTTGAATTCCCACCCCAAGTACCAAATCAAGGAAAAGTTAGAGGAGGCCCCTTCTTTGACACTAGAAACTTCTTATGCAACCAAAAGCCTTTCTTTTAGGTAATCTTGCAAGACGAAGGATAATCAGGTTAAACACATAGCTCATTGCGAATGACATAACCGGCAGGATCCTATACACAAAAGCACATACTACCATAACTTTATTTATTTAGGTTTATACATATAGGTCTGAGGTTAAAAGTTACAGCACAGCCAGACATGATTATAGAGTACTACTCAAAATCCCGTCATTTCAAGGCTCTGAACCACAACTTACCATAAACATCAGTGAAACATGAAGATGCAGATAATAGGAGAATACTTAAATAATGCTTGGTGAAGGAATCAGAGAAAGAATTCAGAAAAATCATTTAAAATTTACTAAAAAAAAATAAACTCAACTTCTATAACTCCTTTTCTTTTCTTTCTTTTCTCTTTTCACATGATTCCATAAAACCCTCAAGTCATAAATCCATTACGGATAAGAGGAAGAAGAAAACAGTATTTAGGGGACGAGCATCCAACTTGAAACAAGATCCTAGTCTCTAGATCCAGAGCACAAATCTATTCCAAGAGAAATTTAATCCTCGTTGTTAAATCAACCTATGCCATATTGGTTCAACAAGCATAAGGGTCCACCAGTCAGGCTGGTAGGATATTGTTAAGACTACAAACATGCGAACAAATTGATGGAAAGAGCAAGTAGCAGCAGCATCTTTATGTCCTTGTTTGATGTTGGGATTTTATATTGACTTCCCATAAGGTGAAGAATTGATGGTATGAGCAGTAGCAGAATCATTCTACTTCCTTGTGAGATGCCCGCCTACATCATAGCCACTAGTAGTAGTAGCCATATCATATTACCAATTTCAAGATAATCCGCTAAATATTCAAGGCATTGCTTGGCCACACTTCTTTTCGCAGCCTATCTGGTAACTAGCAGGCAGATATGTGAAACTTCTTAAGCTTTTAAGTCAACATCTTGAACACTTTTATCACAAACGTTTTATCATCACTAGAATTGTCTATCAGAAAGCAAAGTCACCAATGGCTAAAGTCCTCCAACTACACCGTAAACGTTCATCACAATGCAGGTGAAATCTACTTTTGAGTTTCCAACTTGATTTAGTAAAATTACAATAAAATTTAAACCAATAAAAATCCAACTTATTACCAATTCTAACAACAAAATAAATGTGTCCTTCCCTATGTGCCGACTTTCTAAATACAGTAGGCATAAAACCTTTACTCTAATATTCGAAAGAAGGATTATTTTCACTCCGAACATCAATGTGAGAAGTTAACTAGACTATTAGGGTAAAGAGCCAAAAGTGCAATTTATGCAGCACCGAACTCTCACCAAAATATAAGTTCCAACACAAAAGGTCGCGTTATCACATTGCAATATACCATCCATTTCTCAAATCACAACTACTTTGAATACCCAAAGCACTAACAAATGTGAAGGAAAACAATGCAAGACAAGCACATCAAATGAAAACACACAAGAAAAATAAGGGGGTAATTCATATAGACCTTGTAGAACCCGCATTGATATTCCGATGAAGAATTCGACCCTGACCCGAATCCCCGCCATCAATCAACTCCCTGAGCCCCAAAGTAGTAACTTTCTCTTTATCCTCCTCCTCTTCCTCTTCCTCCTTGGCCTCCTCAACAAGAACACTGTCACCTCCGCTGCCACCACTTCCACGAGCCTTACCAATCAGCCTCTCAAAGTAATTCCCATATATATACTCAGGAGTGTACCCGTTCTCTTCATCAAAGAGCATGATGTGCCCATGCCACTCCCAAACCCGATAGTCCGAACCCGATTCCTCATGAAACCCCACGCAAATGTGGTGCTCTCCGATGGTGACGGCCTGACCCGAATTGGGCTTGAGGGAATCTGTCTTGCCGCTGAGAATAACCCGGATGATATCCTTCTCGAGGCGGGATTCTTCCTTGGCGAGCTGGGTCTTGTTCTCGTCGTCATCGTCGTCGTCGGCGGAGAGATTGGCAGCGTCGAGGAGAAGATCCTCGAGGGTTTGGGAGAGGAAGGAGTTGTTGGTGGGGGGTCGGATTTGGAGCCTGCCCATTAGGGTTTGGAGCATGAGGTTGTCGAAATTGGTGGTGTTGGTGAAGGAGCTCATTGCGTTTGGATTTGGGTTCGGACTTGTAAAATTAGGGTTTTAGGATCCCTTCGGAAGGAAAGGGGTTTTGGGTTTATGGCTTTAAGCTTGGAAATTGGAATATTTTTTTTTTTTTTTTTCATTATTCGACCAACAAAATGAGAAATTTGTAGTTGTAATGGCAATACAAATAGTACATCACGTATTTTAATAGGAGTGGTAGAAAATTTTATTTTTTAAGTTATTAACTTTTTAGCACACATATTTCATTATTTGTATAATGACACGTAGCGTATCACCTATGTACCTGTCTCATTGAAAAATCTTTGTCAAGAAAATGACGATTGAAAATGATGGGTTTATGCCACGTGTAGTTTTGATGGTCCACGTGGTATTCGATGATAAGTACACTGTGGCTGTGACCTGGACGTTTATCACAAAGTCAACCTGTGGGCTGTGACAATGATGAGAATGTGTATATTAATTAGGCCCAAGCCTCCAAGTCCAAAAGGTTTTGACTATTACCCGTTCACGATTTAGGTTCCAAGCCCAAACTTTTATATTTGATTCTATCATTTCATGTGTTATGATTTAAGTAGACGACAAATTCACAATTTAATATATATAACATCAATAAAGAATAAAGTAGTGTTGTAAGTCCACTCAGTTTGCGTTATCTTCCCACAAAAATGAATGAAAAATAATAATAATAAAACAAGTGGACGGACATAATAGCATTTCAACTATGTGTTGCAACATATGAATTGATGATACAACAATGACAGTGACAATCACACACAGTTATTTCGTCGAATTCTTGCATTTGCCCAACATTTTTAGTATGGTGAGAGTAAAGGGTTTTGTACTTTTATGGGAAAATGATAAACACGTACCATGTTTTTTTTTCTCTCATACACCCATGTTTAATCATGACCGTTGTTTTCGTCTGATTCATTCAAATCCGATATCCATGTTTAATCATCTACCGTACATTATATATAGCGGGTTAGTCAATCTTGTTTTGTTTAGCTTTGTAATGGATTGCAGGTTGCATCAGAGACTGGTTCCCCAAAAGCACGTTGGCATCCACCAACGCTAGTAAGTTGTTGTGGCGAAAAGGAAGACATGGTCATATATTACTGGTGTGTACTAATTCTAAAGTTTTGACGGTTTTATCTGGGATGACATGTTTGTTGGAAGCTTGGATGTATTAGTTGCGGTTGTGTAGCTTGATACAAGTCATGGATGCGGACAGACTTGATCCCACGTCATATTACAAGTGGGTATTTCGTTGCTAATAGAATCAACGTCATTTGAGATAAAATCTCACCCCCGAGTAAATTCATTCCATGAGACGCTCTAAGTTGAAATCGAGTGGTTAAGTTAGAAACATTGCCACCACTAACATTACATCTGGTAGTATTTCTCAACAATCCGCTTCACTTGTAAATGAAAAGTTTCAAGTTCGACCAGCACAGTTGGCAAGTTCGATACTAAATGGTATCACATGAAAGGGTCAATGTTAAGACTCAGTCTCAGCTAAAAGTTAAGCTTTACTTTGACCCCATTATTTCATCGAAATAATCAAATTTGTTGGTAACAAATGATATTGAAATTAAGCATTTTACAAGGTGAATTGTTCACAAGAATTGCTCCATTACATTGACACACAGTAAATAAAACATGGTTCTCCAACAAAAACAAAAAGGGCAGCCTCAAGAGTCGCATACCAAATGAAAAAATAAAGGCATAAACCAATATATCAAGCCAGACTATTTTCCTTTCTCCTTTTCCCTATCATTTTCGTCGATATCATTACTATATAAAAGGTTTAAGACACAATCCCAACTAGAGTCGGAGTATAAAGGCATACATTGTTAAACAATGTGTGCATTAACAACAAAATATCAGTTATTTTTTCATTACAGAGAAACGAAGATATAACGTCCCCTATATAAGAGTAGTGATAGCACCAAGTTTCATCACTTGCAACTACCGCCTAAGGCTCTCCACAATGTAGTCCGCATAGAGGTTCCTATCATGTTGAAACAAAGAGTTTGGGAGATTAAGATTATACTCCATTTGTATAACTAAACAAGGCAATGCAACATCAGACCGAGGATGAGTTATGTTATGCACATGCAGTCGCTTCAGTAATCTGATGTTTTAAATGAATGAACACTGGTTGACGTCAAAAGAAATTTGGACAGAGGAATGAGATTCAAATCAATGTTCTGTACAAAACCAGACCAAAACTCTAGTGATTCAAAACTTTCCCGACTTCTTTTTCATTCCAATGCATAACTTGTATCCATGCTATTCTAATTTCTAACATCTACATTCTTGTATGACTATCGATGGTTAATTTACAGACAAAGAGGTAATCATATAGTCTGGGCATGCATGAGTGGGTGAAGGTCAGAGAGCATTGACACTTACATGGAATGCTGGATTGCATCAAAGGCAGTAGATGCAGGGAGAAAGTCATCAACTGCAACTTCTTTGTTCTCATTTTTCTTGTAGTCCTCAAAGAAGCGCCGGATCTCAGCCAAACGGTGAGGTGGGAGCTCCTTGATGTCATTGTAGTGTCGGTACTCAGGATCATCAGCACAAACAGCAATGATCTTGTCATCTTTCTCACCCTGGATTAATGAAAAGTTAGAATTTTGTAACAAATTTAAGATAATAACCCTTTATGTCTTTATATATACCTGGTCAATCATAGGCATCAGGCCAATAGCTTTGGCACGAAGAAAGCATCCAGGAACAACTGGCTCCTGTGAGAATTTTCAGTGTCAAAATATATCAGATTGAGGCTCCACTTACATACATCAGCTTTAAAATAAACCAAATGGATTTGGAAACTGTGTAAAGCTACTTACAAATATAACGCAACATTTTCAAAAACACGATTCCTTACAAATATGGCAAATTAAGCCCAAAATTTTTTATATGATTATTATTTAATGAGACATGCATATGATTGATTCAGTGTCAAAATATATCAGATTGAGGCTCCACTTACATACATCAGCTTTAAAATAAACCAAATGGATTTGGAAGCTGTGTAAAGCTACTTACAAATATAACACAACATTTCAAAAACACGATTCCTTACAAATATGGCTAATTAAGCCCAATTTTTTTTAAATGATTATTATTTAATGAGACATGCATATGATTGATTGTGTCATAGCGAATGATTGGACATGGGTGGTACATGCCCAACAAGTTGATGTCATATTCAGGTTAGCATGCTATAAATCATGTTTCATTGCTTGATATTCACAAAATAAAGTTCCGAAATGGCTTGCAACAAAACGAAGCATAAAATACCTGCATAATAATCAAGACATCCAAGGGGTCATTATCCTCACAAAGAGTACGGGGGATGAAACCATAGTTATGGGGGTAGACAACAGATGAGTACAGTATGCGGTCAACCTGAACGTACAAACACCCTTCAGCAATCATACTTAAATGAATAAAGGTACTAGGAAGTTAGCTTGCCTTAGATATTTACCTTGATGAGTCCAGTTTTTTTGTCAAGCTCATATTTCACTTTGCTTCCTTTTGGAATTTCGATAACCTGGATTATTAGTCATGTTTCCACAAGAACTATGGTCAGGTAGGTTGACATACATATCGCAATACGTAATTAAACACTCTTTCTTAATAAGAGCTATAATTGTCGTGAACATTACAATTATAATATGAAAACTTAGTATTCAGAGAAAATTCTGTCTCGTGAACATTACAATTATAATATAAAAACTTAGTATTCAGAGAAAATTCTGTTAACAGTAATGTTATAGTGCAAACTATATTCAGGAGCACACTATTTAAATATGACATTTATATTTAAGAATGCCATGAGATTCTGAAGTAGGTCGACTCCATTCGCACTTAAGAAGACTTCACTACTTATTCCAATTGTATAGTTACTTAGTGCAATATATATTGAATATTTATTCAAATTTTCAAATTACGCACGGAAAATGAAAACTTTGAGAAGCACAGAAGAAAGTTAACAATAATTTTCTGGAGCAGATTATTTAAATATGAGAATCACATATGAAGACTGTATAGATTCTGGATGGTTGGTCAATTCTAAGATAACTTCTTAATGTGTAACTTTTTTCAACTGTGAAGTCATTCAGTGCAATATTTGTCGCTATAAGTTCAACCTAAGTACTGAGAATGCAAAATTAGAGCAAACACTGCAGAAGATAAATCATCAAAAAATCTAAAGCATCAATGATTCAATATACTTACACAGTTGAAAATCTTAGGAGCTCCAGGTCCTGCATTGAAATGAAAATAAAAGTAAAGTGGTTAGACATAGGCTATAATAACAATTAGAGAAAGCTAGCACGACGAACAATGGCTGCTGGAGATATTGCATACCGATTTCAAGGTCATGCCACGGGTGGGCAGCGATAGACCTCCTGGTCATGGATGAAAGTATCCTCTCATTTAGAGGTGGATGTGAGGAATGATCATGATGATAGGTGACATGGGGTTCAATAGCATTTTGTGGAGGCTGAACTTTTTGAACAGTCTCAATCGGTGGAGCCATATCTACAAGATATATACACCACATGAAGTCAGCAAAATCCAAACTACATTTAGCAAATTCTATCAGCTATTTAATTAACCAAGCAAAATATTTTGAATACTAATTTTCAATAATGTTTCATGGAATTTGTCTCACAGTCTCACACCAAATCGAAAGATACCAATAGCTCTAAAATTTTGTAAAAGCTTTTCTCTCTTCAGTTGGCTAAAATCTAAAAGTTCAAATCCAAAAATAGCCTCACGAAATTGACTGAGAATACATTTCCAGAAATAGCATATTTTCTCTTCTGTTCCAGAGGCTCAAAACCCAATAAATTAAATCCAAAAATAGCCTCGCAAAATTGACTGTGAAAACGTTTTAAAAAACGCGTCAGCAAAGCGTTTATTTCAAAGTAAAATCCGAACAAAAGAAACGGAAAGGAAATCTTTTTGACCTAAATCTAGATCTGCCAAACAGTAACTCTAACTTTACTCAAAAAATTAGGAAAAATAGCACTGCTACCTATGAACCACTTGAAAGATTAATCTCAGAAATT